CTTAGAGTAAATGCAAATTTTAATAGACATTGTTAACGGGTTAAGAAGTACGGAATACACACTCGCTTAACAATATTAAAATTTCCATAGCAGGGATATGGGGGTCGCAGCCCCCGATAGCAGGGTCTAAGGGGCACTGGAGCTATAACCCAAATATTGAATATGTTATTTTGACTCTATGATCTACTTGTACTTTATTTCTTTTTACTTTACTATCATTTTAATTCTTAAACGGTCAAGTTACTAACTTTCACATTTCGGATTCAGATAGAAATATACTGTTGGACTCGTCTTTTAAAGACCTACAATTTAAAATAAATTTGATTATAAAAAGATAGCTTTGAAAATATCTTACTTTCTTGCCATTTAAATTTTTATTTAAATTAATCAAAAATTAGAATGACAATTTATTAAAAATTTAATCATTAATTCTAGGATATATTTTGGGGTGTTACAATTAGTGCCAACGGGAAAGAAAACCTAGAATGTGTCATCCTCCTACCAAGTAATAACAATGCTGTTATGCTCCTGGATGCAATATTTAAAATAATATTACCATTTGATCTAAGAGCAGCAAACAATGAATTCAAAGGAATTTTTTTCTAATTCCTCCATAACCATACATAAAGTAAAAACCTCATCTCCGAGTTATCAAAATTTTCATTATCTCATTGTAGGTTTTCCTCTAATCTTCATTCGTAGTTGATAAATATTGTCTGAGATCAATTGACAATTTTTCTTTGTCGTAGTTCAATTAACCGACCAAGAAATTAGTTTGAAACCATACCTATTAAGTGAGTTGTCAATTGAGAATGACATGCCACTGAACTCTTTTAAAAAGCATCCATTAAAATTAAATAATTTCTTGATCTAAATCAAACATAATTTATGTACTCCGTAATCCATTAGACAATATGGTAAGTTCTATAAAAAATGTTCGTTGAAATATTATTAAATCATTTCTTAGAAACAAAAATCCACAACTAAAAATCCACATATTAACCAAACTAAAAATAAGCATGTATTGCATTAAAGAAATACCTCTACAAATAGATTATTAAAATATTAATCTAATACTCCGTACTTCGTAATTAACCTGTGTTGGCAATACATACATTAAATACAAATGTGGTACTTTTTAATATTCAGGCTCTAAGACAAAATAAAAATCTAAATAAAAACAAAGCAATATGTATACTACATAGTCAAAAACATAAATGAGTGAAACCAAAACTCGTGAACAATCACAGAGGAAAAAATAGACACACGCATTGCAAAATGTAACACATCTTTAATAAAATTTGAGAATTTCAAACATTAATCAAGCAAAGATCAAGTGGATGTTCACCTAAAACAAATATCTAATAGCTACAAACATTTTTACCATCACATAGTTCAATTATATCGACACTTAATTAATATAAAAGAATTCACCTAAAAACAAAAATCCAAATTGTGTAATATTCTTCATCAATTTAGTCAAATAAATCTCACCAACCAACAGTTTCCATATTTCCCCCTCAAACAACACGTGAACGACTCATGACATTAGTCATTAATAATGTGACTGACAACTTTCTTATTTGATTCCTAGACCCTACCTCGATAGTCTCTTTTATACCTTTAATAAATTCTTTATCACTCATTAATAATCACAATGCTTCACATGCAAAATTATTTATTATCCTCAAACTTTGATAACTTGTACACTCTTGTTGGACACTCAAGAGCACTTCTCAAGATATATATATATATATATATATATATATATATATATATACACACACACACACACACACACACACATACTCCCTTCATCCACATTTAAAGTTCCCACTTTGACTCAAATTTAGGTGGAATGAAAATTGTGTTGACTTTCCCTTTATGCCCCTCATCTTTGCTACCCCTGTACACCCCATTGGAGCCGTCTACCCCTGTACACCACTGACGCTGACACTTCTGCATCGCTGTTGCCGCCGCTTCTGCACCGCTGCCTCCGCCGCTTCTGCACCGCCGTCGATGATGCTTTCGCATCCCCGCCGTCGAAAGCTCTGGGCATCGCAGCGCCCAGCCGTCGCAGCCCCTAGCATCCCTCTCGCCGTCACAACTTGCTTCTCTCGCCGTCACAAGCCCCCGCCTTCAAAGATCTATTTTTAGACTTCTCGTTAGGGAAGAAAATCAACATCCCACCATAGATCTCGAAAAAAATAAAAAAAATTGTTCCTCCAAATCTAGATCCGACGAAGATGCAACCAAATCTGAAAAAAATTTCTTCTTTTAATGATGAAAGAAGAAGGAAGAAAAACAAGAAAAAAATGAAGAAGAAATAAGAAGAAGAAGATGATGATGAAGAAGAAGAAGAAGAAGAAGAAGAAGAAGAAAACAAGAAAAGAAGAAGAAGAAGAAAACAAGAAGACGGAATTGAGAGGAAGAAAAGAAAGAAAAAGAAGGAAAGAGGAGGAAGAGTGGGGAGGGTGGCTGACGAGGCGGGAAGGAAGAAAAAAGGAAAAAGAAAAAGAAATGTAATGAGAAGGGTAGTTTTGTCTTTTAACCATGTAAAACTTACTAAAAAAAGAAAATGGGAACATTATTTGTGGACGGACCGAAAAGGAAAGTGGGAACTTTAATTTTGGACGGAGGGAGTATATAGGTTTTGGTTCCGGTGAAAATCCAATCTTATGAAAGAAATAAGAATGAATCTGGTACTTTAGATTGTGAGATCTAAGGGTCAGGATTGCATCAAAATTAGGTGCACCAAAATGATTTGAAAATGCATCATGTCGAAATGCATCGAAATCCTTTGAAAATGCACTATTTCAAAATCTGAGTGCAGGATGCAATCTCAGCTGCACGATGCATCAAATCCAAAGGCTAGATGTTATTCTTATTTCTTTCACCATGGTGCATTCTCACCTGAACCAACCCATATATATATATATATATATATATATATATATATATATATATATATATATATATATATATATATATATATATATATATATATATATATAAATATAACTCCCTGAATCTGCAAACATCCAAGTCTCAAACATTGAAAAATTGTTCAACATTTCTTTGATAAAAACCCTTAACTTCATATTGGTCTTTGAAGGTGATAAATTTTTGGCCCTAGAAGATAGAAAGTCAATCGATTTAAAAATAGTTGGCCACCGATGGTGTATATCAAAAGCTAAGATTCTCTAAGCAACTTCACATGCTGATAGACATTGACAATTGTAGTACTTTTCTAGTTCATTATTAATCAATGCATTATCAAAGTCACCTTTAGATTGTCCTACTGCAACAATTACTCTATGTAGTCATTTGTTAACATAATCAAATAGAAACTAGATAGAATTGGATATGTTGCAATATTTAAAATTGACGTGAGCTTAATATCGCATTAAAAGTTCTATGCTATATGGCACTAGAAAATGATTATCTAACTCAATACTTTTTTTCATGGTGGTGACCCATGTATCTCTTCCTTTGAACACTAGGTATCCACGCACCATCATCAAATCTTATTTTCTCAACATATTTCTTGGAAAAGATTTTTTTGTATTTGCCTTCATTCATACATGACGATTTGGGATTATCTATGTCACATGGACCATGTATCATCATTCGTGTTGCAGACTCATACAAATGAATGTACTTATTTTTATCAGGCAACTCAGTACATATCACACGATCAATGGACTCGGATATTTGGAGTTTATCCTTTTTGTGCAACCATATTAAAATATGTGCATGAGGCAAATATCTCTTTTGAAACTCAACATTTTAGAGACCTGCACATGATCAAAATTTTCAAAGATATTTCCCCGTTTAACGTCGTCATTCTTCAAATGATCTAATTTCATTTGAAAACTCTAGATTAATTGGCAGGTCTGTCTTCTTCCTTACATTTGCTTTTAGTCATAAATCTTGCTATCTCTAGCCACTGAGGATTGCATGTAATAATAATAATAAACAAATTCAGATGTCATACCTCCTACAAAACGTCATTGCATTCTGACAGTTGTTAAACATTTATCTCATTTCCAATGAAAGAAGTTGGCAATGCAATTTGTTGCCGAGAGGTTGCTGGACCTGTATCACCTCTCATAACAGATTCCTCTAGGCCAGACATAATGTCTCGTCTAAATTAATCTTGATTTATAATTGTCCATCGAATTCTTTGTGTTTTTACTATTGTGAGCGCATCAACCAAAAAAAGTAAAAAACAGCCTTTGTGTGCGTAATATAATACTCCCTTCGTTCTAAAAAATACTTCCTCTTTCATTTTTTCCATTTCCAACAAAACACTTCCATTTTCTATTAAAAAACCATTTTTACCCTTACTTTTTCATACCCTACCTATCACATCATACGTTTTCTCTAATAATCTATCCATCACATTTTACTTTTACCCATCACATCAGGGGTAAAATTGGAATCAACTATAATTTAACACTTCCTTATTTTTGTCCCAAATCAAAATGGGAAGTCTTTTTGCAAACGGAGGGAGTACTACATGTGCCATAGGTTTTATATTGTATATAAGTTTCAAAACCATCCACCTTTTACTTTATTTTATTAATTATAAAAAACTCTTATATACATGTATAATATGTATGCATCGTTATTAACTCGTAGTATATAATTTATTTCAAAACTTTCATTGTACTATATTATTTCTTTTATTATATTTTTTCAACAAAGTAAATAGAGCAAAAATAGTTAAGTGTCAAAATTGGGTATGGAGCCCAACTGAAAGTGTTACATGATAAAAAATATTTAAAAAAAGTTATTGTTCAAATATTAAAATAATAGAATTTCAAACTAAAGTATTTAAAAGAATAAAATCCTAAGGTGAAACATAAAAAAAACTATTAGAAAATTAAAATAAATATAATTATACTTGTGAAATGTTAAAAATTGGAATATGTATATGTAAAAATACTACTCGTACAATAAATGCTCCGGATACACTACATAACGTCCACTTATTCCCAACCCTCTTCTTCTTTGTTGTCGCCGCCGACCGCAACCTCTCACTGGTAAGCCAAATTGCCCAACTCAATGCTTACTGCCTCCCTCACACACACTCCGAATTTTTGCTTTCTTTCTTTTTTTTCTTCTTCCCCCACTGGATGCCATCTTTTTTCTCAATTATATGCTCCTGTTTGTTCCTGTATTCAATTTGGGGTTTCTTGCTTGCTTGCTTGTGGAGATTCCGGACTGTGTCTAGAGATCTTTCTATACGGGCATTTTTGTTATTATTATGAAAGATTGAGCTAAAATGGTTGTTTGGGTGCCCGAAAAAACTAGGGGAATTGAATTTCACTTTCGAGTTTATTTATGTTGTTTGTTTGTGGATAGGTCCTGATTGGAGTTTTTAGTGATTACATCTGTTTCTGGTTTTCCTTTTTGTATGGGCTGTGTTGTAACTTCTGTTTCTCAGTATTTTCTTTCCTTTATATATTCTGCCCAATGTGAGGAGCAGCTGTGATTCAGTATTGTTTAATTGCCTTAGTTTTTTTCAGGTGTTGTTCGATAAGGTAGAAAATTGTGACGGTCTTTTTGTTGCGTTGATTGGTTTCGCTTCCCCCCTTTCCCGACAAAACAAATACCCCATCCATTTAAATGGTTTGCAGGGAAAAGTTCTTCCTGGCCTAACAAGAAAATTTTGTTTCAAAATTGCATCTTGCAAGGAATGATTCGGAATGAATAAGAGGAGGGTTTAAACAAAGAATCTCCCATATGGAAGGGAACTTAGACAAGAAAAACAAAGGCACAACATCAAATGAATTGGGTGGTGGTGTTGCTGTTGATGTGACCGGATATGCAAGAAACAGTGTCCCTGGAATTCTTACAAAGGAAGATCCAGATGAGACAGAATACTCAAGCTCATTTGCCGACTCAACATCTTTGAACGGTAACATTTCTGGCCCAAGTGATGCTGAAGCTGATTCCCGTTTCGGCAATGAGAGCGACTTTGGTTCTCCTTTTGATGGGTTTGGATGTCTCTTCCCAGTGAGGTATTGTTTTATACTTATGTATATGAATGCATGTATGATTGTCTATTCTTCTTCGCTACCCGGGAGATGAAGTTTTCAATTAGTCCTTGTTTATTTTGCACTTAAAGCAAAATATATTAAGGTTCAATGTTATTGAATCATCTCGCCCTGTAAATCAGTTTGGATTTATAAAGTGATTATTGAAGCTTTTTTTTCAGGAAGAAAAGGTTGACCAGTCACTGGAGAAACTTTATAAGTCCTCTAATGTGGCGATGCAAGTGGGTAGAAGTGAAACTAAGAGAATTTAAGTCACAGGCAAAAAAATATGACAGGGTGATGTCTATATATGATCGGGGGAAACATAAGGTGTTAGATGAAATCCTGCTACAAGATTCTGGATCAAAAGCAATACCATACATTCATCAAAGCGAGAAAAAGAAGGCCATGAAGAGGAGGAAAAGAAAAAGAGCCGAAGGAACTGATGTATCATCGTATATGTCAAACCATAAGCTTTTTTCTTACTTTGGTATTATGATTTGTTTCTCTTTCACTTCTGCAAGGTGCAATTTATTTTCTTTCCTCAATAAAAAAAGTATTTTTCTTTTGACGTGTTTTTCTTACAGAAAACAAGAAATCTGACCCAGACGGGGCTTCTGCAGGGGATGATTTGAGTGTAGGTATGTTTAGATTTTGTGAACTCTTTGCATGGCTCCTAACTCATTTTTTTTCTTTAAAAAGACTATTCCTTATTTTCTTAGTCGATGCTTGTTTTTTACGGTCAATGGCTAATTGTGTTTTCAATTAGCATTATTAGACTACGTACCGTGCATGTTCAATTGTTCAATCGTTCAAAATCATGTGTCTTGCTAAGCATTTTGTAATGTAGCATTCATTTACACACGATTAATCAATTGTGGTGTTTCATAAGTTACAGTTAGGAGGCTGTTCATATTAAAAGGTTGTATACAATCATGACAAACCAGTTTTTAGCAACAAAAAAAGAAAAAAAAGAACTGTGAAGCCTTGGTGCTTTTGTTGAGGAATATAACCTTCTGCATACATTTTGATGAGGGCCCCAACCTACTTGGACACGTCCATGTCTCTCTCGTATACCTCCTATTGTTTGAGGGTGCATCATGGCACCATAGGTTTGTATTCTGCCCCATAGCCTAGAGTTGGGAAGATTTTCATACTTCAATTTTTCATCACCGGCTGGACTTTAGAGATAGATTTAACTTATTTCCATTCTGAAACAGTGTTGGTAGAACAGAATGGCAGTGCCCATGAAGAGTTGGTCAGTGATGATTTGTCAATTCTTAAAGGCAATGAAGATCTACCAGAACAGGTCCTAAGGAAAATTGAACAGCTCTACACACGGGTTCATAAGCTGACTGCTGAACTTGATTCGATGATGGAAAAGAATTCTTTGAAGTTCTCTTCCTCTGAGAATCTGAGCAACCTGTGTGGTGGTGGGTTTTATGAGGCGCAGGACAGCTCTGTCCGTAACACTACAACTTTCTCTGCTTGCAATGGGGAGACAATGTCTGTAGGATGTCTATACACGCCGCAGGTTCAACATATATCTGTCAATGAATTTGGAGGAGATTCCATCATGCATGATAGTGCTATTTCGAGCTTTGGAGACGCTAATGATAATCCTCCAGATATTGTAGAAAGTAGCACTGGATTTTTGTCTTTTGTTGATGCTTCCCAGCATCATCACGGTCAGGTCGGAGATTCCAGCGAAAAAGTAAGATTCTTGAGCTTTATTCTTACATTGTACTTAGCTTTAGGCTTTCCAAAGAGTCGCTAATTTCATGGCATCTGACATGTGTAGATTGTGGATAACATCCTCGTGCAAAACGAAGCATCTGAAGTAGAAGAAGGGTCTCTTTTGATGAAGATAAATCATGAACCATCATCATCCATGGAGAAAAATATTGCAGCAGAGAGCGCCAATCCGGTTACTGTCTCAGTACCACAACCGAGTATAGCCTGTGGCACTTCCCAGGACCAACCGACTTTGAGGCCGTTTGTGGGCCCCGAAGTCCCTTTTCCTACTACCACCAGTAAAAGAAAGCGTGGGGAACGCAAAGCTGGTGGCACTGGTTGGAACTGGCAAAATCCAGAACCTGACAGCTAGTAAAAAGGCAGAGACTCTTATTAAATGGCACTTGAAAAATGAAAGGGTATACCAAATCATGCATGCTTTTATCTTGTAAGGTTTAAATTAAGAAATTCCGTTAAACCAAAGATTTCTCATGGGCCGTGAGCAATTTTCCTCCATTCATCATCGATCTAATAGCCGCGAACTAAAGACTAAACTTTCTTTACTCTTTTTGCTGGTGGAACATCTTAACTTATGGTTGACTGTAGGTGAAGACTGTGGCTCTGATGATATGCCAAGGAAAGAATGCGATGATTATCTTAGCTTCTGCAAAAACCGGAATCTTTATTTTCGGGTTGTATTGTTTTTTTTAAATCTGCTGATGATACAAGTTTATTGTTCTGTTAATTTATCAAGACAGATTTGTATTTTCTATATCTGGTATAGGTATGATCTCCTTAAACATTGGCATTTGCTTCATAAATGCTTTGAGTGTTAAATATACTTTTTGATCCCCATCCTATTGAGCTTTCTTTTTCTTCTTCTTCTTCTTTGCCTTTTTGTTTTTCCCTTTATCTAAAAGAATTGTATCTGGTGCACTTCTTCATTAGGACTGTGATTTTGGATTATGTTAATGGTTTACTCAAAAGCCAAGGACACCATTGCCCTTGCCAAGGGAGTGTGTGGTATTGCAAAGTTCTGCAGATTACCCTCTAAACCACCAAACAAACAATATACCAAAAGAAATGATAACATGGTCCACTGATTAGTAGCTCACCTAACATAATGGTGGGAACCTTGTGGATGTTGTTAGAGCTATAATACAAAACATAAAAGGAAAAGAAAACAAGAAAAGGGAGGATAAGTGTTTTTTTCTTTTAATCAAGTTTTCATTTGTTTCTTTACGTGGTTTGAATAAAAAAGTGAAATTAAATAATTGAAATTTGTGCAAAAGAAATGAAACCTCAATTTTGAGACTTTGCAAAAAGAGAAATGATATATGTATTCTCCTCGTCTCATAAAAAAGTTTCGTGTTTGACATGAAAATTTTAAAAACATAAAATTTTATGATTGAAAGTGATGCATCTGAAAAAAGAAATTATATAAACCACAAATTTAAAAAATATAAAATATAAAATGAGACAATTTTCGAGATAGACGAAACAAAAAATGTAAAATGTACAAGTCTTGTTGTTAAAGTAAAGTTAGTTGAAGCAGTCCAACTAAGGTGGGGGGGTTATTGAGTGAGAAGGCGGCCAACCCCTCCTCCCCTTCCAACACCTGATCTGCCGCATCCAATAGGGCCCCACCTTTCATCATTTTCCCCCCATAAAGAATGGAGAGCTGTCATGTACAAGAACTCCTCTTTAAGGTGAAAGAATGGAGAATTAGAAATAAGCTAAGCTAAGACAAGCCAAGATAGGTAATTACAACAAACACAAAAACACACATTCGTCACAAGAAAGAAGAGAAGGAAAAAAAAACATTGTTAGGCAGCTTTGAACAACCTGAGAAGAAGGGAAAAAAAGAAAGAGTTGTTGGGACTTGGGACTTTTACTTTTGGGTTGATTGCAGCTTTCTTCTTCTTCCTCTCCTTCTTTCTGATCTTTGGTGGGAATTTCTTCCCTTTTCATTTTATGGGTAAATTCATCTGCATATGTTGAATAAATCCTTCCTTTGATTTTGTTTCTGTGACTATGTGTTTTGTGTTTCTCCAAGTCCAACTTATTTTCCCCTGTTTCTCTTTATTTTGATTTTTTTCAGGGTGAAATGGGAAAGAAAGGCAGTTGGTTTTCTGCAATCAAAAGACTTTTCACACCCAAATCTTCCAAGGACAAGGAAGTTAGTGTTCTATCATTAGAGACATAATTAATTCATTGAGAATTCTTATCTATAAATCTCATGATCTTACAAACTTGCATGCATGATTTGGTTCCATGTTTCACAGAAGAAAAAATCAAAGGCAAATAAGGGAAAGAGGCATGGAGAGAGCAAATCATTTATTCCACTCTTGAGAGAACCAAGCAGTATTGAGAAGATATTGGAGGAGGCAGCTGCAGATGATGAACATAGACTGCTTCTTAATCCCCAACCAAAATTCTCTCAAAACATCTCTTCGCCCCGACCTGTTACTTCTCCGAGGTACCCCAACTTCCCCCTACTTTTGAGTATAAAACATTCCTTGTACCTAAAACTACAAGTTTGAGTTTTTGGTTGAATTGTTTCTTTGATATAGTATCGAAGCCATGTTAAGAACTCTTGTCTGCACCTTAAGAGGCGTGTTAGAGTATAAAACTTGTAAAAAATTGAACATGTAAAGAAGTTACAAATATGTGCATGTATGTACTTCTCCTACTCCTTATAGGGTGACATCTCAAAGGGCTGCTTCCCCTAGAGCTACTTCATATAAGGCAAGGAGGAAACGCAAAGAAGATAACCGTTATGTGCATAGACCCGAACCGGCTTTAGAAGTGCTTCATGCCAAGGCTATCGTGATCCAAACTGCCTTTAGAGGCTATATGGTAATATGCTCTACTTTGAGAGGTTTATTTATTACCCAGAGTATTATTTTTTTGGGGTGACATTTGTGTGTTTTGGCGTGTGATGAGAAAACAGGCGAGGAGGAGTTTGAGAACTTTGAGAGGCTTAGTGAGGCTTCAAGGAGTGATGGGAGGAAATAATGTGAAGAAGCAGAGCTTGAATGCCCTTGAACAAATGCAGTTTATGGTTAGCGTTCAAACGCAGGTTCAATGCCGAAGGATCCAAATGCTGGAAAACCAGGCACTTCAGTTCCAAGTTTTCAAGAATGGCAATGGCGCCGCAAGCAATTGGACACAACTGGTAATCGGTTTCCATTCCTCTTTTTTGAATGGCTAAATACGAGACAAGAAACCAACGTTTACTCGTCCCCAAGGCATAACACTAACAATGATGTGTTTGTTTGGGTTAGACCGGTGTGGGTAACACAGAGAATTGGGATGATAGTGTTCTAACCAAAGATGAAATTGAACGGAGGGGGCGAAGAAAAGTGGAGGCAATTGCCAAGAGGGAAAGAGCCATGGCTTATGCATATTCTAATCCCCATCATCATCAGGTTAGCCTACAATATAGGGCTTCTGTTTTACAATAAGTATATGAATGAGTGAATCCCCTAATAAGTATATATACGATTCTTTGCAGAAAGGCAATAGCCAGAGATGGAGTTTGTATCCCACCATAATATGGTGGAATTGGTTAGATGATCTCCGCGAGTCTTCTGACAAAAATGCCCTCCCAACACCAACATCAACAAAATCAGCTGCTCCAATGGGTAGCAAACAGTCTGAAGATTCATATGGTAAAACGTCGCGGCCTCCAGGCAGCTCTAGCAGTTTGACAAGCTGTCCTCCGTTTTCGGTTCCAAGTTACATGGCACCAACTGCTTCAGCCAAAGCCAGGGAGAGGAATAGTGATAGTCACCTGATGGGTGAATCATCGAAGAGGAGGTTTTCTTATCCTTTAACCCCGCAGAACATTGTCGAAAAGGAAGCGGATAAACATGGAGGAGATTGTGTGAGTGTGGATTCCACTGTTTCTATGTCTGGGAGGAAGCCATTTAACAGATTTGTGTGATTGGATTTCTTTCTTATTCTTTTTAAAGGTTGACATTTTGGTTTCTCTTCTCCTTGTTCATGTCAATAACCCTTCTAATTTGTTCATTTAATCATGATTTTCCAGTCACTTAGTCATGCCATTCATCGTGTAAAAAAACGCGTAGCAGTTCAGAAATTTCGTAAACAAACAAATTTGGATTAGTAATTTGACAAAATGGTCTTGGAAAAGAATTAAAGAATTAAGTTGAAACTAATGAAAATTTTGATTGCATATTTAAAAAAAATACAGAAATTGAAAGGAAAATGTGAGATGAATTTAGTAGACAAGTCCCTTTCAGAGATCACTCATCTGTGGATACATCTCAGCGGTTGTCTGGCCGCCGCTGATTTCGCACAGCTTTCTATTTCATGCAATTCGAGTCCGGCGTCGGAAATTTGATCTTAACGACGCCATCGGCGATGCATATTCGTTGTTCCGGTAGGAAGATGGAGAGAAAAGGAATGTTGCGATTTGTTCGAGGCCGTAATCAAAACGAAAAAAGTTTGAAAGGCACGGAGAATCGCTGTGTGATATCGCCAACCTTCAATGCAAGATAATCCGCCATTAATGAGACGCTCTTGCTCTGCAAATTGGCTTATTCGGTCACAAATACAATCGGGAAAGCGAGATTTTTTTAATAAAAAAATAATAAAAACAAAATAGAACGAGAAATGGGAAGAGCACCGCCGGCAGCTGGGTGGAGTAGATGATGGCTCCGAGATGAGATGAATACGTTGTAGAAGGTAGTGGTTTTTATACACCAGATTAGCAGTACAGAAAACCCTAGGATAGTGTGGGCTGGCCGGCTGGGTTGGGCTGGCCTGCCTCTATCGTTCCCCATTCATTATTTTTGTAAATCATATCTCTTCTTTTAACACTTTAACTACGGAGTAATAACTTACTCTCTCCGTCCCAAAAAGTCTTTCCTGTTTCATTTTTTGTGCATCCTATAAACACTTCTAACGACATCTAAAATGCCTAAAATTTACAAAATTTCTTTATTATGGGTAGAAGTTATTTTGAAAGTTTTTTTGGTAATCAAGACGGGATAGAAGTGTTTTATGGGATGCGCAAAAAATGAAACATGAAAGACTTTTTGGGACGAAGGAGTAGTTTCTCTTCTAGTTCGTTCTGGTTCTTTCAAGTTCTTTTAAGTTTCTTTCAATTCCTTACAGTTCTTCTAGTTTTTTCTAATTTCTTCTAGTTTTTTCCAATTTCTTCCAACTATTCTTATTTTCTTCAAATTCTTTTTACTACCGACCAATTATTCTAAAAATGATATATTATTATTATTATTACACCTATTATGTTCATAACTATAGCTTATAAATTATTTCATTTTTTAATTTCAATAATTCACACTGATTATTATTTTTTTCTTCAACTTTTAAACTATTTTTTTTAAAAAAATGGTTAAAATAGTTTACATTTTTATCTAATTTTATATAAGGAAAAACATCAATATTTTAATCTAAAATATAATAATGAAATGAGATGGAGAGTACTACATAATGAAAACTCAAGAGAGAACTACATCTTTTTTTTTGGAAAAAAAAAGAGAAAATGACAAAAAAAAGTGTAAGAAAACAAATTCAGATAACAAACAACATCTTCAATGATTAAAATACAACTAAGAAACAAATTATACTTTCATTTATTTGATCTACTTTTTATTATCGTTAATATGTAAAATATTGCGCATGCGAATGTAAATAATCCAATCATTTTCAACATAATCATATTGAAAAATTGTTTATTCCATGGAGATTATGTTCTCCTTTTTTTCTTTTTCTTCTTCTTTTCCCTTTTTCCTCCCACAAACTTAGGGGCGATTTCCCTGCATGTGTAAGTTACTTGTTTTGTATTCCATTATATGTAACTTTATTATACACTTTCCCAAATAAAGCAAAGCGGATTAGCGTACTCCGTTTGGCCTGCAGAATTTACCAGAAACGGAGTAGGCTACTCCGTTCCACTCATTTAAATACACAAACGGAGTAGCCAACTCCGTTCCAATTATTTAATTAGGAAACGGAGTAGCCAACTCCGTTCATTGTTTTTTTTAAATTTTTTTTTAAAATGAAGTATTTACTTTATTTCCTATATTTAAAAAAACATAAAAAATTATAAAAATCAACAAATTATTGAAATATAATGAAACAAAGAATCTACTAACAATAAAATTCATAGTTAAAATAAATATTTATTGACTTTAAATAATGCACCATACACCGAATTAAAAATAAGAAGTAAATTACAACAAATTTATTGATAGAGTACATAAAATTTATCTATAAAATTAAAGATACAAAACACATGCCATCACTAATTTATTTGTGAAAATCATAAAACATAAACTTGGATATTTGAAGCTTTCTGATTAATTTGTT